CAGCTGAAATGCTACTGAAATTCAAAATTGATAAAAGTTAAAGCAATATATCCAAAATTTAAAGGCTGTGCATCATTGCTGACACCTCACTGCACTATACTCAACTGTTTTTAATGTTGTATATAATTTAGCTGAAATATTATTGAAATTCAAAATACATAAAAATTAATAAAAGGTAGTTACAGCAATATATCCAAAATCCAAAGGCTGTGCATCACTACTGACACCTAACTGCACCATACACAGCTGTTTAAATGTTGTAAATAATGCAGCTGAAATATTATTGAAATTCAAAATACATAAAAATTAAGAAAATGTAGTTACAGCAATATATCAAAAATCCAAAAGCTGTGCATCATGGCTGACACTGCATTGCACCATACAGTTATTTTAGTGTTGTATGTAAGATGCAAAAATATTATTGAAATTCAAAATAAATAAAAATTAATATAAAGTAGTTATTGCATTATATCCAAAATCCAAAGGCTGTGCATCATTGCTGACACTGCACTGCACCATACACAGTAGTACAGTAGTTTTTTAGTGTTGTATGTAAGATGGGCAAAATACTACTGAAGTTCAAATAAAACAAAATGTATTTATTGCATTATATCCAAATGCAATAAATACAAAAAAGGTGTGTATGACTGCTGACACTTCACTGCACTGTACACAATTCTTTGTAGTGCTGTATGTAATGTGACTGGAATATATTTGAAATTCAAAATATATAAAAAATTATTTAAATGAGATATTGCATTAGATCCAAAATCCAAAAAATGTGTATGAATGGTGATACCTAGCTGCACCATACAGTTATTTTTGGTGTTGTATGTAATGTGGCTGAAATATTATTGAAGTTCAAAATAAATAAAAATGTATATAAAGCAGTTATTGCATTACATTCAAAATCCAAAAGTTGTGTATGATTGCTGATGTATTTTGAATTTCAATAATATTTCAGCTGCATTATTTATAGCATTAAAAACAGCTGTGTATGGTGCACCAAGGTGTCAACAATTATGCACAGCTTTTGGATTTTGGATATGTTGCTGTGACTATTTTTATCAATTTTGAATTTCAATAATATTTCTGCTATATTACACCCAACACTACAAACAGTTGTGTATGGTGCAGTTAGGTTTCAGCAATCATACACAACTTTTGAATTTTGAATGTACTGCAATAATTACTTTATATTAATATTTGTATTTTAACCTTCAAAAGCATTTGAGCTGTATTAATTGCAGTATATGCTGGCATTTATACTAAGCAGTATTTTAAATGTTCAATGTCTAAAATGTCAAAATTGAAAATGGAAAAAATAACTTCAATCTGACTCACTTTTTGATGGATTCAAAAAACTTTTGATTTGCAATTTGATCCACTTAAATAAGACGTTTTCTTTTCTACACTCTCATTTTTTAAACTAATATTTTAGATGGCTAAGGATCTGTTGAACCTTCAAGACTGCTAATGTCTGACGATTACTGAACCTCCGTCATCAAGCTAACTAGCTATATCAGTATACAGGTAATATCAGTTTTTACAGGTAAGATATGCTCAGTACTGTTAGGACAATTATTGGCAAGTACATTTTAGTTACAGGTGTATTCAAAGTCCTTTTTCTAAATTAAAGTGGTGTGTGTTTTTAGAGCAAATAACACAATTAATCAGATGTGTATGGACACAGTGTTTACGGAACTATTGACGTTTTATTGTCTGGAGGTGTCTGTTGTTAGCATGAACAATTAAAGTATGTATTTAAATGCACTGAAACGCTTTGGAGGAAAACAAATGCGTGTGCATGGATGTAGGTGTGGTCTAGAAGTGCATGATTTTCCTTCCGACTGAAGAACTTGTCTCAGTCCTATGGTAATAACACAAATTAGCGGTACGTTAAATGTCACCCAAACTGCAAAAGCACAGGTGTGCATCACTCTCTGTGGTCGGACTGTCATGAATATGTAAGTCTTTACTGGCCACCGTGGTCCGATCAAATGTTATTAGCGCCGAAAAGACGAATATCGAAAACAAAACTAACTTTACCGTGGTTCGTTAATAACTGCTTGACAACCACATCGCAGATTTAAGCCGAATACTGTATGTCAGTTATATGAATATACGTCCTCTAACAAGGTGAGATACTGCAGTGTGGAGAGCACGGATAATGACGAAAGTCTCATCTGCGCTGTGTTTACAACTTACCACCACAAAGCGTCAAGTACGGAAACGGCCAGAGAAGACCACACCAAGCCCACCACAAAGATTAACATTTCACCGGCATCTGTCCAAATAAAAACATCACGGGTAACTCAGCGAATTACCCGTTACAGCGAATTAAAAACGCATAAAAAAGCCTAATTAATGTGTGAGAATACAGATTGTCCTCATCGACAGAGCACACATCCGCAATGCCGGCTGCTGAGTGTAACTGTAAGGCTGCGCTGAATATGATTGGTCGACGTTTCTGCTACTCTTATCCTATTGGTTCCGCTCCTCCGAGCAGGGAGGCGGGACAATGTGTACATGGAGCATTCTCATTGATGTAAGCGGCCGTCAGTCAACATAACCGGCGAATAAATGATATTTCTGGTATGTTTATGAAGATAGACTATATATACTGAGTAAAATCATAGTTTTTTATTTTACCTTTCAGAGTGTTTTCACATAATAATACTCTAGAAATATACTCTGTATACCTCTGAGTAAAGTTCTATTTGTCGTTCATTTAGTACAAAAACCTGTGTAAGGTTGCTGAAACATTATTTCTTGCAAAGGAGTAAACCCATACAGTTTAACCTTATAAAATATGTTATTGAAGGTATATGACACCTGTTTTAACGAACTGACCTATTTTGTGGAAACGTCCACAAATGTCATATTTATAGGTAGCTCCCTACATAAAACTTTAGATAGGATATTTTGATGGTCTAAATCACCTTATTAGAGGGCATGTAATAACATTAAGATAAGTCTGTATAATACACTTGTGTAAGGCCGAATTAACATTAAAAACACAATAAAACATTAGAAAAAAGAAGTTATTTTCCTAATGAGATGCTCATGTGCAGTAGGATCACTCTGTGTGTAGACTGTTAGAACATCTAAGGCTGGGATATGGGACATCTAATCTCACACATCTAGTCTGATAAACACCACATAACCTATGGCGAATTGGCATAAAATAAATAATTCTTCTGTGCTAAGATTTATTTTTCACTTTTTGTTTTGTCAGACTTACTGGCCTAAAACCCATCTGATCAGACTGCGAGAGGTGGAAAATTTTTAAGTACTATTTAACTTTTTGAGTTATATCAACAAGAATACAGAGAAGCCCAAGGAAATATGTATAAGAGATAAATAGAGAGACACCATTTGCTAGGGGGAGAAGAGGCAATACATGTATGCATTAAGTGAAAACACTGTATGTATTACAGATGGAAACTGTTTTGATAGCTTTTGGTTATTTGAGTTTTCTATTGCCAACGAATAGTGTTTAGACTCCAAGATTGAGAAAACAGACAATTTTTACTAAACTTGCATTTGTGCACATAGAATTTAGCAAGAAAAAACAATAAATTAATAAGATAGAGCTGATAATTATTTTTATTACAAAATCAATGAATCCAAACAACACAATTTTAAAAAGTACAGAGAACTACAATATTGTCAATTATATATCTTGAGAAATCTTGCCAGAATTTCAAACTATATCAATTTGTAAATTCTGTGAAACCAATGAGGTTGAGGGGTGCAAAAACATATTGAATATCAGTTTTAGCCTGGATTGCTCTTTCAGGAAATCCTTCTGTGAATCATGGTTTTACAATTGTGTCAGTAGCCTATATGAGGGGCCCAATAAAGATTTTTGGAAGCCCAGTTGGGCCCCAGTGAGTTTGCCTCCCTCTACCCACCCAGTAGTAAACCCCTTAAATGGCCAGGACCCAAAAGTTGGGCACAAATTTTTATTACACACTTCTTTAACCTAAGAATATCTTAGCCAGTTTACACTGACACCCCTGTTGTTATTAATCAGTAAGCCTTACTATGTAATAACCCTGGGACTTTAGGGGGATAACTGGACTAATGATCCAACATCAGTACCTGACCTCATGCGCTTGTGGCCAATGTTGTTACAGCATATGTGGGAAGATTGCGGTGAGGATTTTATTGTAAAGTCTTTTCAGAAGAGTAGAGGCTGTTACTGCAGCCAAGGGGAAACAAACTCCCATTTAAAACCTTTAATTTCATGACTTTGGATAATCAGGTGTCTACAAACCTTAGGACAGGGATGGTCAAAGTAGTCCATGAAGACATTTGATTTGGCCCACCAGAAAACCCCACCCCCTCTCCAAATGAAAGAACAAACATATTTTATGCTATATATAACTCATTCAATTATTCCCTGCTGAAAAAAAACATAGAAACCTAAAGGTTCCTAAAGGTTTTGTAAAGTGTTTTGGCTTTTTAAATTTGTTATGTCAAGGATCCTAATGGTTTAACACATGACCAATTGCTGATTCTAAATGCATTTGATGGTTTCCTAATGGGATCTAAAAGGATTCTACACGAAGCTATTGGTCTCTATTGGACAGCCAGTTCCCCTTACAAAGCAAAACCATTGTGTTTCAATCCTAATGATTTCTAATCGTCATTTTTAGCAGGGTTATTTTCATTTAGAATTGTATTTTTGTAGTATTTTAGTAACAGAACATGTTGTAATGTAATGTTATAAAACACAATATTAAAAACTCAAGGTCAAACCTACTCAAATCTACCTGAACCTTCTTTATTTGTATTTTATTATATTCAATTTTATTTGTTTTGTTTGTATTTTGCGTTTTTGTTCTTCGGCCCACCACAAACGTTGCGCCTGAGCCCACCAAGACAAAAGTTTGTGTTTTCTTGAAGCAGGAGCGCGCAGGCGCAGTTCTGATTAGGGGCGGGACAAATCTCGGGCGGGCGGGGCTACCGCACAAACCTCCTCTGAAGGGAGTGAAGGAGTGAAGCGGAGTTTGTTAATGGAGCTGAGAGCGGAGAGTTCAGGGCTCCACTAGCCTGCAGAGAAAATGGCTCGACCCCGTGAGGAATACAGCACCGAACCGGAGTAGAACAGAGTCTCTAACGGGTGTGAAAGATGAAGAGTCTGTTTCTGTACGGGCTGCTCGCGCTCTTCGTCGGAGTGACACAGGGAGGTGAGTTCACCTACGAGTTCTTCAAACTTTCCTCAAATCTCCACAAACCACACAAAGAGGCGACCCGTCTCTGTGAATGTGCCCCTGTTTGCATTCCTGGTTTGTTCGTTTGTTTTAGCAACTTCAGGAAAAGTCAGACGAACGCTTTAATCTTTTATTCTTCTCGCCCTCAGAGTCAGAGTCGTTGTTTAGGCTGGTGAGAGTGTAGAGATTATCTGAAACTCTGGAAAACTGAATTTGCACGCTTCCAGTGTGGACATCGGCACACGTGAATAAGACACACTGTAGCAACAAAATTATTGCTGTTACTTGCTTTTAATAATTGTTTCAACATTTGTGATAGTTTAATATATGTTTTATTTTATTTATGTGGAACTGGGAACACATCTGAATCAGGGAAATTCAGGCAAACCTTATGTTTGCCTATCAGCTAGTTAGCCTTTTTGGATTAACTGTCCTAAAGTAAGCTGTTGTTTGGGACCTCTGAAAAAAGATGGTTTTTCAAGGGTTCTTAAGTAAATGCCAATGGTTCTATTTATTCTTGCTTAAATGGTTCTTTGCATGGTGAAAATTCAGACTGATGGAGAACGTGTTGTATATAGTTCTATACATATAACCTTTTTCAACCAAAAAGGGCTCTTCTGTTGTTACAAGCTTTAAATCATAACAATAGAGGAACCCCTTTTGGTGTTATATAGACCCATTTTCGAAAAGGATATACAGAACTGTATTCAACACATTCTCCATCAATCTGAAGAATCATTTCACCAAACCTGAAATGGTTCTGTGTTGAATTCATGGTTCTAAAAAGAACCTTTCTCTTTACTAAAGAACGCTTGAAGAACCATCTTTTTATAAATGATTTTAAGATACAGCCCATTGCTGCTGAATCTTTCCTATAGCCTGTTCTCTCACATCTGTGAGCTTAATTTGTCCAGACTTCTCATTGTTGTATCCAGACTATCTGATAACAGCCTGTCTGCACTGAACTCACACAAAGAAGATTCACCTCATCAAAACAAGCGTGAACATATTTAAGAAATGTGATAATTAAAGATGAAGTCCAGTAAAACAGTCCCTTGAAATTATGGGAAATTATGAACTGCAATGCATTCTGTGTTATTATCTATGAGTAACTGCATTATAAAGGCCTAATCCATAACTGCATAGTCCGAAAAGGCAGTGCTCACTTCACATTACTTTTATTTAAACATTAGGATGTAGTATCGCTATATGGCATCATTTATTGCCCCTGGGGAGCAAAATCTATTCCCTGTTTATAAAGATCCAGATAAATCTAATTAACTAATGTTATCAGTAATATGTAGATGATCTCTGAGGTCTGTTGGGTCTAAATATGATCTACATGTAATTAATATTGTGAACTTACCAATAAAATATCACTCTTTGTCAAGTGTAAGATTAATTTCACATTAGACATGTGCTTATATTCAGTAATATAATATGGAGTGATATTCAACACATGATAATGTTATTGTGGGTACTTTAAAACAGTGTCACTAGATTTTAGGCAAACAAGTTGCAGTTTTGCCAATGACATTAACACCAAAAAAAAAACAGAATTCCATAAATTAATGAAGGCTGCTGCGGCATTACAGCCTACAAAGTCCCATAGCGGACATACAATACAATGTATGGGCACTACCACCACAGCATTGCTAATAAAAAAGACATTCAGCACAGTACATGTATGTTTGTCTTATAGAAGCAAGGTTTTTATACAGTATTGTGTATGCTAAAATGTAGGTAGTTATCATGATATTCAGATTTTATATCACTTGCCTAATTCACATATTTCAGATGCTTTGCCTACAGCTGGACAGACCTTAGTGCACACACAGTCACCACAATGTCAGATAGAGGCTCTAATCTCTTATGTGATGACATGACAAGCCCTGTATTCTTGACGACTGACCCGACTTCGCTGTCTCTAAGGCTTTCATTCTCCCAGAAACAACCTATTTGGCACAGTGGTTTGCACAAGGGCTGCACGATATGGACAACATATAAGTTTTGATTATTTTGCTGCATGTTATGATCTCAGAGTGACTTGGAATTTATTTAAACACATTCATGAATCAGTAATGTTTCGTGGTTAAAAATTGGACTGCATTATTTTTTTTACCAAAATAATTTACTTTTGTTGGTTTACACAAAAGAACACAAAAGAGGCATTGAAACAAAGAAACATTGCGATGGGTTAGAGGGCTTATTTGCAGGTTGCAGCCTTTTTTAATATTAATATTTCAAAGGCCAATATTTAAATAACAATTAACATATATGGCACATAATAGTTTGCCATCTGTATTTCAAGGCATAATATCTAAATGCATCATACAGTCTTGGTGATAAATTTAGTATTTATAGGCCAGACAGTTCTTATGTATTTTTTTTCATATTTCATTTTACATGACATGTTTTCCTACCTCTCCCTGTACTGTGCCTCAATCAAAAAGCAGTTCAAGCTGAAACACCCCTTATAACATACGTGTTGATGAGCGGGGCTAAACTGTATTGAAATTTGATGGTTTTCGTGACTTTGCAAACACAGTGAATTCAAGATGGGCTCTTTTTGCTTTTTAGTTCCATATATAGTAGTGTTTACATGCTACATCATACACCTTTATTTCAGAAAAGTGTGGGAAATTGTTTTTTCCATGATGTGGACGCTTTGAAGGAAGCATATAACAGTACAGTACAGTCATGACTATACATAGTTTTACAGTTTGATGCTACATGAAATGATACAGGTAACCAACCCATTAATTAAGAGGTTCCTGGAGTGTTTAAGTGCTGAGGTTTAAGCAATGTTTAAGCACATTTTCAGAGAGCTAAATGAGAGTGCAGAACACATTATGGAGATTACAGGGCTATGCATTGTGGCACAGAAGAAAACAGCTGCAACCAAGGCTCTTCATGAACAACAGGGCCAAGAGCATGTGGCCAGGTCAGTCTTTTATGCTGGGAACAGGGTGCCGTCAGGACAAAGCATGCCAGTGCATGCATGAGTATATAGCATATGCCCTTTATGGTGCCGCCAGGCTTGTAGCATTAAGCGCAGTTTGAAGCGAACGCAGTCAACTTTCAAATGGGCTCCAGATTCAGCTTCAAAATTAAAAAGTTACTCTCACTCCAAATACAAAACACACTACTTCAGAGCAATCCAGAGATCAACAATATATATACGAGTATTCAACCAGTCCAGTTTTGTTGTCCAAGAGGCTCTAAATGAAGCATTAGACACGAAGACAGTAGCTAATTAAACAAAATCTCATATCATTGACATTGAAGAGTACTTTGTTAATAAAAAAATGTTTGGCAATCATGAAAAAGGTGTATGATTTACATTTTATTGATTGCAATGTTGTATTTCATTATCGTTCACAGCAGTAATGGAATTGAATCCTTTAAACTTTAAACACTAGACTTTGTCAGAAATGACCAAAGACAAAAAATACCCCTTAAAACAGAAGTAAAATGTAGTTAATTGAACTTATATGCTTATAATATAATTTTCAGTCAAGAGGCCCATTGAGATATTAATTATTAGCATGAGGAAATAAAGCAGGAAATATACAATTAACAGAAATTTACACAGATGCCTCAAACACTATACACACACATATATATATATATATATATATATATATATATATATATATATATATATTTGTTTTTGAATATTTTGTATGTCCACTCTTTGCCTTTATCTCAGCTGCATTCAGAGGTAAATACTGAAAAATGAATAACTTGTACTTAATGGCTGTTTTGACTGAAACATAAATAAATGGAGGGTGGTCTCTGGTGTTTGCAGAGTACTGTAATAAATCAGGGTGATCATGCTGATAAAACAACTGACACTTCAAAATTGCCTCTTAAAACATTTAAAGCAAAATACTGTTTGCTACCCTGCAATCCTTACTCTCATTAGTTTACAACTTAGTAGTGCTATAGTAGTTACTAAATAATTAATAGTCAGTAGTGAATAATTGGCCAAAAGATGGAAAATACAATCAATAACTCAAAAATGAGCTATACAGTTTAAGGGCTGAATGTTGTCTTTTCTATTTACTGTATGATGCCATAAAATAAGCAGCTGATTTTTTGTCCCGCAGCTTCCTTCTATGGTGATGGATTTGTGCAGTTAAAGGCAACAGAGTCTTCTAGACATAACACGCTCCATGTCCGCTTCCGCACCTCCAGCCAGAGGGGTGTGCTCTTCCTGGCCGCAGGGCAGAACAGTTACCTGCTGCTGGAGCTGACCTCCGGACGATTACAGGCAAGTCTTAAATAGCTCTGACCTCACAGACAGCACCACTGGCGCTGTTTTAGATCCACAACTTTACAGCTGCTGGAGGGCATGAGTCAGTTTCTTACAGCTTATTAGAGATATTCAAGTGGGTGTTCAGCTCAGGAAACCTGAAGGTGGATTTACTCTGTTTGAGGTGCAGTCAGATGTTCTGCTGTAGTGCAGGTCAAAGAAAGAATTACTGAAGGCCATTATCAGTACTAAAAAGAAATAGCAGCAGAGCAACACAATAAATTTTATTGCAATGATTGTACCTGAAATCTATATGTTATGCATGATTTTAAATGTGGTTATTCCACATCTGTTGTCAAGTCTTGCATTAGGTTATAAGGTTTATATTAGCAACATGGTGGCTGCACTATTTCAGGCACTGAAGAATGTGAGCTATGATGGCATCGTCAGAGAATAAGATACATTTAGTGCTGGAAGACTTGCTTCTGAGGCCCTCATAAAGGTTGCCTACTCTAGCAGTGTCAGATGAAATCAGCAGAACAAACGCAGAAGCAGAGGAGCTTTCGTAACACAGAAGTGTACAAAAAGGATTTTAGTTATGTTTATTCTTAGTGTCAGTCATGGGACAGTCTCTGTACTGGAAGTTATCCTGGGGCGAGGCAGTCCAAAGGACCAATGATTTTAGCCTTTTATGCATTTGGTCAAGTGAGAAGCTCCTCACGTGGACCATCGCAGGATGTAAAACGGAATTTACTCTTAATTATTACTCATCTGGAATCTCCTTTGCCTTTGTGTGCATCAGAATTTGGCATTGCTTGCCCTTTACAAAAGCTTACAGCTATTCAACAAGCCTTGACAAGTCTGTCCCAACTGTACTCTGGTATGGCATACTTATTCAGATCTACAGGACAAATTGTGTTCCTTGTTATGCCTGAGTGCTGACTACATCATTCAAAATATACACTTTGGACTTTTGGGTCCGCCTAGCTTGTATCTACATTGTCCGTTTAATCAGGGCCACCTACCAGATAGGTGCGATTTGTAGTAGGGGCGTACCAATATGGGAATTATGGGCCTGTGCTATATCCTGTATTTTTTTGTACATATCTGCCAATACAACATTTATAAAATGTAGAAATTGTATTAGCATTACATAGAAATGTAACATTTGTAGAGGCTTATAAATTCAGTAAAATGCAGATATTTTAGCACTGTAGTCCACTGTTGCCTAAATCTTCTGCTCCTCCTGAGGACAATAAATGCATCATCAAATGTTGGTTTGAATTATCAGCCAAATTTAAACATCTGTCTGATGCTGATATTTTTTTTAAGCAAAAAAGCTATATGACTCTGATAGCACATGACATCATACACCACTACTTTGTAGTTCTGCAATTACAGACTGTAGTCCCTCTGTTTCTCTGCATAAATTGTTAGCCCCCCTTTACCCCAATCATGACCATCACAGAGCAGGTATTATTTGGGTGGTGGATCATTCTCAGCACTGCAGCGACACTGGTTAGCAAATTCTGCAGATAAACCTAGAGTCTACAATCTGTAATTGTGAAACTACAAAATACACCTATATGGTAAGTGGACCTGACCAAATGAACAAAGAGTGCATATAGAAGGTAAATGTACCTAATAAAGTGGCCAACGAGTATTTAAGGTTCTATACAGTACTGTGTAAATGTTTTAGACGAGAAAAATCAAGTTTTAAAAACTATTTTTTGGTCAGTAAGGATTTATTGGCTCAGAAAAACACAAATATTAGAATAAATACAAATACAAACATTAGTGTAGTAAGTAGTGATTATATGTAGGTCAAAGCGTTTGCTCAATAATTTCCAAACCCTTCTTTGAGGAAGCCCAGCATTAATTGTGGCAATCTTCTAATACTTGTTTTGGCTAAGCAGTACTTCATTATATTAAATCAGGTGTGCTGGTGATGGAATTTAGTAAATCTGTGTGATGGCTGAGGTCATCAAGGATACATCTGGAGCCTACTTTCTTCAAACTGTTCTTCAAATTAGCTTACTGAATATCAGTTACAACAAATTCTTATTACTGTATTCATGTTTATTTGGACTTGATATATAATGAGATGTGGTGTTTTTACAAGCAAAAAGACACTGTCAAGACAAATTGTTTTAAATGGTGTGCTTAAAAGAATTTTGCACAGTACTTCATGTTTAACTGAATTTGTTTTATATACTATATACGTTTTAAATAGTGTATATGGTTTAAGAACACTATTATAAGTAACATTATCTGTCTGTAGTTTTTAGATATGCTCGTTTACGCAGGAAAGCTTTCTCTAACAGTAGTTTGATTTTCACCCATAGGCAAAGTTGGATCTTGGCTCTGGAGAGCGGATCCTGCACTCAGACAGAGGGAACCCCCTGAATGATTTGGCTTGGCACACAGTAGATCTTGTCCATGACCGGAATAATGTGAGCCTAACTGTTGACAAGCATTTTCAGACCAGCCAGAGACTACCAGGCTCACAGCAAGAGCTGAATATCAAGGATGGCCTATATGTTGGTGGGACAGGAGGCTTAGATAAGGTCTATCTTCCTAGTGATCTTACTGGCTTCCGCGGTTGCCTTGATGAAGTGCTATTTAATGAACACAACCTCCTGTCATCACTTAGGTCCTACTCTGGATTGAAGAATGTCTATGAGGTTTCCCTTGGATGCAGTCCTCAGTTTTTTGCTAATGAAGAGGATCCCATTAGCTTTTTCAGCTCCAGGGCATACATCTCCCTTCCTCCTTGGTCTGCACAGCAAGAGTGGACTCTTGAGTGCTCTGTACATACCTCAGCTCAAGAGGGAATCATTATGTACAATTCTGCTCGACAGGGGGACTTTGTTACCATGGAGATTCATGAAGGCTTGCTAGTTGCGATGGTGGGGAGAGATGGAATGAAAACGGAGCTGCGCTCTCTTACTTTCGTCAATGACAAGAAGTGGCACAATGTCAAACTTTACTTCACTTCCAAAAGCTTACAGCTTTCTGTAGATGGAGAGACTGTGAAATCCAGTATCAGCTCCAGATCAAAAGCCCTGCAGCTGAAAGGTTTTCTTTTTCTTGGGGGGGTTGATGATAGCACTCGCTCTGAAGTGAGAAAGGTGGGCCTGTCTTCAGTTGCCGGAAAGCGCATTAAAGGGTGGATCCTTCAAAGGATGCTTTAGCGATATCAAGGTCAATGGTGTTCCAACAGGGCTTCCACATGCTGTTGTAACTAAGGATATCTCTGTTGGTTGTGAGCCAGAGAAAGAACCTGAGATTACTACTACTTTGAGCCCAGCTACCATACCTCAGACCTTTGCTGGCTCTGTCACTCCATTACCACCTATAGATGTGTCCACACTTGCAAAGGGTCTTGTCAAGAAGTATGGACAAAATTTTCTGCAGCTTAGGAACCTTGTTGTTCCAGAGGGTGGCCGTGCGTCCTTGGATTCAAAACATATAAAAGTGAACTTGGACTTCAAGAAACTTGGTATTCGCCAGTCTCAAATCATGTTTAGAATTGAAGAGCAGCCAGTGCATGGTCAGCTTAGGTTTGATGTGGACCAGGAGCAAGAGGAGAATACTTTTAGCATGCTGGATCTTTGGCATGGCAGAGTGATGTACATCCACGGAGGTTCTGAAGACCCACGTGACTACTTCATGTTCTCCATCTTCTCTAACAGCAGAAAGGAGACACCAAGCTATCTGAAGGGACATAAGTTGTACAGATTCAATGTTACAGTGACACCTACCAATGATGCTCCTGAATTGAGCCTACCTGAAGGGAACCTCTTCATTCTGCTTGAGAACTCTAGGAAGAAGCTAACCACAGATGTATTGAAAGCCACAGATGTAGATAGCAACGTTACAGACTTGGTCTACTCTGTATTGGGAAATCTTAATGCTGACGCTGGGTTTTTGGAAACTGAAGATAACCCAGGTCAGGCTATTACTTCCTTCCCTCACTCTGCTCTGGAGGATGGAAAGATAAACTATGTCCACACTGGAGTGAGAAACTCAAGGATAGTGTTGAGAGTTAGCGATGGAGAGAAAGTTAGCAACACAGTTGTGCTTAGAATTATGGCCACTGGACTGGAATACAGCATCATGAACAACACTGGACTGGAGGTCACTCAAGGAGAAATGTCTCTAATAAGCACTACTCAATTAGCTGTACGGACCAATGCGGTGAAACAACTGGTGGACATTCGTTACGATGTCACTGAGCCACCAAAGTTTGGTGAACTCCAGAGGCTTCATTCAAGCGGAGAATGGAAGTTCACTAATTCTTTCTCTCAGAGGGTTTTAGAGAAGGACCGCCTGAGGTATCTCAGCACCTTTAAGTCTGTTCAGTCAGGTAATGTTACTGATCACTTCAAGTGTAAAGTCGCAATTGCTTCAAAAGCCACAGAGCAGCTGGTGTTTAACATAAAGATCAAATGGGTAAACTTCACAGTAGAAAGGAATGAAATAATTGAGATGGACAAAATTAGAAGAGTGGCAATAGACTCACAGCATCTCTATGCAACAGCACAAGGTGTGACCGTAACTGAGGCTGAGCTTTATTTCAGGCTTCTGTCTTCCACAAAGAAAGGAATGATTTTACTAAATGATGAGAAGTTAGAGGAAAATTCCACCTTTAGTCAAATGGATATCACAAATATGAAAGTAGAGTATCAACTAGTGGATAGACCATTTGGGGACACAGTTGACAGTTTTGAATTCCAGGTGTTCACCAAACATGCTCATTCAGCTAGTCATGTATTTAAGATAAATATCAAGGCAGACATCAACAGCATTTACATAAGAAACAATGGACTTTCAGTTCTCGAAGGTGAGAGCAAACTCATCACCAAAGATGACTTGTTTGCTGAAACTCTGAGCACTAAAGAAATGTACTACACAGTCACCAAGAGCCCCAAACATGGCAAACTAGCGCGAATCAACCTCTCAAACTCAACCGAGAGTTATGACAGACTGATCTCTTTCACCTATCAGGATATCTTAGAGGAGCGGCTTATGTATGTTCATGACGATAGTGAAACGACTCATGACCAGTTCACATTTATAGCTTCTTCAAGTCCAGCGGCTAAGACCTCTGTGAATGAAGATGAGGTTGGGTCCAAAGAAGGTGTGTTCAACATCTCAATACAGTTGGTAAATGATGAAAAGCCTATTCGCATTGTGGATAGAGTTTTCCAGGTTGTCCGAGATGGACGGAGGCTGTTGACCCTGGATGACTTGTGCTATCACGATGCTGACTCAGACTTCAGTGACGGGCAGCTTGTCTACACCCGCCGTGGCATCCCTATGGGGGATCTGGTGCTTGTGAATGACACTTCTCACAAGCTCTACCAGTTCACCCAAGAGGATCTGGCACAGAAACGGGTGTTGTTCATTCATCGTGGCGTGAGCTCTGGCCGTTTCGTGCTGTTTGTTTCAGACGGCAAGCACTATGTCTCTTCTCTGTTGGATATCAGTGCTCAGGACCCATATTTAAGGGTTGATAACAATACAGGCCTGCTGGTCCAAAAAGGGCAGGCCAAGACTTTCAGCAGTGCCAACTTCAGTGTGGTCACAAACTTGGATATCAGAGAAGACAGTGAAACCACATTCAAGATTCATGACGCACCAAAACACGGTGGACTGTTTTTAAAAGACAAGAAAATTGAATCGTTCACCCAGCATGAGCTTAAGAATGCTTTGCTGTCTTATCGCCATGACAACAGCAAGAATTTGGCCGACTTTTTCTCTGTCGTGGTGAAAGCGAAAGGCTTGCGTCTGGATGCCAGAATTAATGTGAAAGTGTACTTGGAAAGCCATCAAAGGCCACCTGTCATACTTCACAGCAAAACACTGCTGGTAGAGGAGGGCAAACCTGTGAAGATTGAACGTAGTAAACTTGAGGTAAATGATTATTACTTCAGTAATTTAGAATTAGAGTAGCATGAGCTGTTTTTATGCAGGCAGTCAAAGGGGAATTCTACTGTTTTCCTTAATCCCTGCACAATTATATAGTTAGGATGTAAACAAGGTCCTTCAGACTGGTTTGGTTTGAAACTCTCCATTCTAAAGAAACTTAGCGAGTCAGAATCTTTCAGAGGAATGGTGATTCAAAGTGTTTTAATGCCTGTGAGAGCTACCTCACAGAAAGTTATTTAACTAAATGATTATGAATATGCTGCCTGATACATGAAACACTGGTTTATGGTAGTTTTAAATAAGGTTTTCAAAAGCCACTCATGTTGGAGACTGGAGAGGTACATAAAGGATAAAGAAGAATAATCCCCAAAGATTTTTTTCTAGATTTATCATTATTTTACCATCAACATGACATACAAACACTCATAAAATGTATTCACTGGTCATTTTGGATAGTTAAAAAAATGGCTATATTTGCACTGTAGACATTGCAGCCCCTTGGTTCCTATCATTACCATTGTGAATAAACCTGAGTAAGTTTCTCTACAGTGAACCATTTCACATCAAACCACTCTGAATGATTTTGTTGACATCTCAAAAACTGAATTGTACATTTAATTTTGTGTGAACTAAACGTCTAATCTATTAGATAACAACAGTTATTGCTTGTTTTTGGTATATTACTATCTTAGTTTGCCGTGAAAATAAAACACATACTTTATTTTCCAGGTCACTCATGAAGCTAATTTGCCTTCAGAAATCATCTTTACTGTCAAAGTTGCTCCCACATATGGATACCTGCGTGGTGTTGTTGATGACCAGTACCAGGGATCTGAGGAGAAACCCATGATGAACTTTACACAAGAGGACATCAATGCTGGTAACATCCAGTATGTACAGATGGTCCCTGACCAGGTGAATGACTCTTTCATTTTGGAAGCCAGCAACGGTGTTGCAGACGTTAGCGATATCACTTTGACTGTGGATATCATCCCTCGCTTAATACCAGTTGAGGTCTCCAATATCACTCTGAAAGAAGGAGCATCCAAGGCACTCACAGAAAAGACCATCAGGGTCAGCAATCAGCATTTCTCAGGGCTCCACTTTGTATACTATGTGTCAGAGGGACCCTTGCATGGCCACATTGAGAATTCTCGTTTCCCAGGGATACCCACCACCTACTTCACCTGGAAACAGGTAAGCTGAATTTTTTAACAGGACACATATAAAATAATAAGTTAAATCTATCTTGATCAATTGTTTTTAACTTGATTATAACTAAAGGATCAAAATACTTAAATTAATAAGACTTTATACTAAAGAAATGAAGGGTGGTCTCTGTCTTTAGCATGGTGCTGTAGCAGTTTCAACATGAAAATCAAAGTGAATACAGAGCTCTTAATGGGTAACCATCTTCATACCAAGTAGTTGTACATTACACTGTTCAGTCACTGTAGGTTAAGTATTGCCTGATTGGTTAAACATTCCATACTTTCAGTAGTCGAATGAACTGGATGAACTACACTGCAGAGAAGAATGAAATAAACTCATTATTGTAACATGAATTTGTCCCTATTGTTTTTCAACTTGTACAGTTTCAGCCATTTTCACATATACTTATGGCTCATTTTCTTCATTACTCTTACACAGGTGGAGCAGGAGCTTATCTACTATGTCCATGATAACTCTGAGACATTAGAGGACCGCTTTACTATCATAGCCAATGACACAGACCTGCGAAAACACAGTACACCCAGGACAGTGTATATCCAGGTCATACCCATCAATGACGAACCTCCAGTTATTACAGCCAACAAGGTCCTCAGGGTAAGTGCACAATATTTATACATTTATTTCTTTTTATACTGGCTCGTGAAGGTCACCTCAGGCAACCAAAGAGCTGGACAGGGTATGCCAAGCATGTGTTTTTAGTTTTTTGCTTCATATATTGCAAACAGTCTGGGTGTGTTAAGGTCTTATTTGAGGTTTCTGACAGTTATAGTGTGTTTTTGTGGGCATTTCACATGCAGATTGCAAGAACAGGCATGTTGAGCGGTTGTGTGTACCCAGTCACTAATTTGAGCAGCCTTTAAAACCAAAGAATCTTTCTAATTATGGCAAATGGCTCTAATTTGAGGAGCACTCAGAAAGGTCATGCAGCTCTCTGTCCCAAATGCTTTGGATTCCTCAAAGCATTCCACTGGCAAGTCCTTTTAAATATAAGGATTAGGCTGCTGACAGATCCATTGAGTTTGGGAAAAATAACATAGGCAATACATGTGCTTACTACGGTAGATTACTCAGTGGCTGGAGTTTAATGTGAATGTTTGTTGCTCAAAAAGTCCACAGACTGAATTGCTACAAAGTTCTGTAATGGTGTGAGTGAGTGAAATATCAGTTTCTTGTACATATTTTAAGTGTCCACAAGGGGGCTCAATACAACTGCTTTTGAGAAACAGGCTACATTACAGGACATGAGAACAGCAAAATTTGCTGTGTTACAATAGGTCTGAGCCTTGGGCCAATAACTGATGTAATCAGTTATCATGCTATGTTGATATTATGCAAGTGCTCATTTTTTTTGTTCTCTTTAACATCCCATTCCTTTTGTATAATCATTCTAAATAATCTATGGTTAGTTAAAAAATGTATACAATAGAAACAATTGCAGTTAATCATAGTGTACACAAACAGAATGTCACAAGATAATTAACTAGACACATACATGCATTTACACCACTTGGAAATGCTATAGTGTAGATTTTTAGACAAAGAGGGCTGGGGAATATGCAAAGGAAACAAAGAAACTCCAGTACATGAGCACTTCTATCTGGTAGACCAGGGATGTCAAACTCAACCGCTAAAAGGGCCATATTAAAAAACCTCTACAAATCTGTGGGCCAGAGAACATCTGTGTTTTTATTTGATTGTTAAATAACATTTTGCTATAACCTGAGCTGGTCATTGTGTATTCAACATATGCCAAAACACCAACATCAAAATAAAGGCAGTTGTAATTAACCTTGAAATATTGCATAATGAACACTTGAAATATTCAAAAATTAAATACAACCCAAAAAGTTGGGACGCTGTGAAAATTGTAAATAAAAACAAAATGCAATGATGTGCAAATCATTTAAACACTATATTTAAGTGAAAATGCTTCAAAGACAACATATCAAATGTTGAAACTGAGATTTTTTTTTTAAATATATGTCCATTCTGAATTTGATGCCAGCAACACGTTCCAAAAAAGTTGGGACGGGGGCAACAAAAGGCTAGTAAAGTTGTGTAATGCTTAAAAAACACCTGGTGGTTAATTGGCAACAGTAACATGATTGGGTATAAAAAGAGCATCCCAGAGAGGCCGAGTCTTTCAGAAGTAAAGAGGAGGAGGGGTTCACCACTCTGTGAAAGACTACACAATCAAATAGTGCAACAATTCAAGAATAACATTTCTCAACATACAACAGCAAAGAACTTTTGCTTTCATCATCTACGGTACATAATATCATTAAAAGATTCACTCATTGAATTTTATTTTTATTTATATTCTGCGCAGCGCCCTGACTTTTTTTGAAAATGGAGTTGTAAATAAATAAATAAATAAATAGATGAATAGGCTATAGTATACAACATTATGAAGGGTACAATAGGCTACATTACATTACATTACGCATTGTGCTGTAGTGCATGCTGGGGATTGTAGTGTAGCACGTTGTGAAATGGGACAGATAGGATTATGCTACGGGCCTGATCTGGCCTTGTGTTTGACACATTGGTGGTAGACAGTACAAAGGACAGGACTGACCAGAAGAAGGGTGCCAACATGCCAGTTTGGTAGAAGATAAAAAAGATGGTTTCATCTTTTGAAAGTTTTAGAACTATATTGGAGTTTTAAGAACTATCAGCTAAAATAGTATTTGGAGAACCAAAAGTGCTCTTTCACATCACTGAATCGCTGAAAAAATGACATCAGTTCCCCTACGTACTATTAAGGTTTTGACTTTTGAAATTACTATGGAAATTCAGTTTTGAGTCACAATGTCTTTATCCATGACACATGGAATAGATACGTACACAGATGACCAAAATATGTCTTGTATTCTGAGTCACGGATTAACAGGATGTTGTGGCTTCCTGAAAGCACAGGACTTCACTCAGCTTCACTGACTGCTATGACATGCGAAAGAGCGAACATTATGACCTCTCGCTCTTGATACAAGAGCTTTAAGGAAGTGTGAGGTGAAAAGCTGCCATCTCATCTGGGAAGATCAGTGTTCCTCTTGTCTCTGGCCACGAACCAAGAGCTTTTTTTTCTCATTTTTCTCAGTTTATTCTTGATATGCTTGTTGTCTCCTCTGTTGTGTGACAGCAGCCTTAGTCTAGAAGGATGAAACCTGAACTTCTCTGATACATATACGTGCCAGCACACCTTTCCATGCAACATCGTTTTGCACCTCAGCAGCATTGCTAACCTCCACTTGTGCTCACAGCCCTCCAACCACAACTGACACCACAGAGCTGTCAAATGGTGCTTTTACTGAGTGTGCCTCTAAGAGCTTTTATTTTAAGCTTTATGAGTCCTTTATCATCATTTTCCATGGTGACCAGTGCTCTGATTAGCTGAGTCAATGTTTCCAGGAATAACATACAGCCACACTGCCACACTATGGTCATCTCAAACAGAGATGTGAAACTACAGACAGCTTTACCAGTTACTGCAAAAGCGTGTGAATAATACAGCTACATGGAATTTTCATTAGTAGTTGCTTTTGTTCAGACTACAACGTGGTTTTTGCTCAGTATGACATGCTGTCTTGTTTCATTGAACTTTTGAGGCCTATAAAAGATAAAAGATAAAACGATTCCAGAAAAAAAACTCTACTTACGTATTGTCTACTTGGGTAATGAAGTGTGTGTCACCTCAAATAGTATCAAACTGCTTAATCCTCATACATGCCAGAGACAGATTTGCTTTAAATATGATATAATGTAGACATCATTTTTCTTGTTTTGGCCTGTGCATAAATGTACAGTCCAGTGTCCACATATTGTTCAAAAAAGAATTAACAGGAGAGCCACATTTACAGCAAATGACCAACGGGTAAGTATGTCCACCCATTTAGCTAAGTTATCTTCCCTAAACATATAGAGCAACTAAAATTCAACCAACACAGAATAATCCATTCAAACCCTATGATGTACCATTTTATAGCGGCTGGCAGAAACAGCACGCGCAAAGTTTAGTTTCAATTTGATTGTTTTTGCCACCCACTGCTGTAGAGCCATATACAAAAAGAAGCATTTAGTAGGGCATGATGACTTGTTGGTGGGACATTGCCCCACTAAATTACCCTTTGACGCTGGGCCTGGACTGTGGTTTACTGCACTTTAGTTTAGACAGGCCACAATGAGTAAGCATGTACTTTTTCATCATTCTTAAATTTGCCTTTAAAGCATAAGCATGCACAAATCAATAAAATGCCCTCAGATCCCAGAGGATTAAAGCTTCTGCTTATACACTGTCCACAGTGACAGCGATGTGTGCATATGCAGTGTAAAAAATATCTAAAACAATCGTGATCTGGTTGTTCTTATTATGTCACATGGCCACATATCAAATATTAATGTTATCTAGGGCCGCATACAAAAGTGTCTAAAACTGGATTTGATCTGCAGTCTCACTATAATGCACTATATTTCTGTTCATTTGTCCAGGTTTGGGTTGGCTCTGTCACAGAAATCACACCAGAAGATATGAATGCAGAGGATGATGATACTGCATCAGATCAGCTAAACTACATCACTACTCAGCCAAGTAATGGTCACCTGGCTTTGAAGAGTGCCCCCACCAAGCCAATCATGAATTTCACTCAGGCACACATTGACCAGGGCCAGCTGATATTTGTACACAGTGGTAAGACAATGCACTATTTATTAGAGACAATTATGATAACATTGCACACTGCAAGGACTAATATGTAGATCAAGATGTCAGTTCTCCACTAGGTTCTTAGTAGCTACTTGGGGTAGCTATGTACTATGTACTTGTAGAGCAATAAGGAGTGGCTGAAAAAATGCCTTTTTTAAATGTTAATGTTTCCAATCATCATTATAAAATTACAGTTTTTATATTTTTTAATAATAATGCATTAGTCATGAGTTAATATGCACTTACGATTAGGGTCTTTCCTCCCTGCCCTCGATTTTGAGGTTAAGAAGAAGGTTAATCGGTATTAAACTACTATACTATACTTCATTTGCTCTTGTCTGTATTGGTCGAAACCTGTGCGTATTGAATTGAGAGACTCATTCAATACAATGCTGTATGTTGTATTGTTACACTCCTCGTAGTTACTTACTTATAGAAGTTACTAAATTAGGAGCGAAGATTAATAACTTAATAATAAGCCTACAGTTTAATGAATTGTATTTTTTCTGGTGTTGTGAAGCAGAATGGACCAATAAAAAAAAGTCCAAAATTGTTTTGAAAAAAATCCTGTTACATTAACTTCCATAACAAGTTAGGAATGTTACCATTTTGGAGGCTTTGTTCCAACAGAGACAATATGCTGCCTGCTGCTCAAGAAAGCAGACAATGGTTGTTCTTTTTTAAACTGTATCTTGAAGAACATCAGCACAAAAATGTGATATGTGCCATGCATTCATGACTTGATGTCAAAAGTCATGATTTGAACCCTGATAAAGATGTACAGTTGAGATAGGAATCTCCAGCTCTAATCTGCTCTTTACACACCATTTTAGAGGCACTCCCTTAACTGACAGCAGTACAGACAGGTCTAAAATTTATAATAGCTATTCACACCATATGATCTTAAGAATTTATCATATTTTTGCTTTGAGACACATAAAAGTAAACTTATTAGATTTTGCATTGTAAATGAAACAATAAAATGTCATATGCTACAGTGCAAGACAAGCTGTTTCCATGGGCAAGATAACATGGACTGTATTCTTTGTTGTGTTGTATAGGAGCCATGGCTGGAGGCTTTAATTTCCAGGTGAATGATGGTGTGAACTTTGCTCCACGGCAGATATTCAGTGTCACAGCTCGTGCACTGATTCTACGTCTGGAAAGGAGTGGCCCTCTCAAGGTGTTTCCAGGTAACTTGTTGTAAAGCTCCTGATAATCCTTATAATCTACTCTAATTCATTAAGGTGAAGCACACTTTGTCACAAAAATAGCCTTAATGTGAGCTGTCTAATTGCCCTGTAGCACAGTATTATGTACTATATATTTCCTCATTTTTTATACTTTGTTTACATCTGCTTTGGTAACTAAACAATAAGACTTCTTTGTCCATGCTAGTTCACATCTTCATGGTTGGCAACAGGATACGTCCCTTGTCTGAGCTAAGCCAGTCTTGTCAGCCTCTGGTAGCTAATTCATACATCTCACTGTGGGCTGTTAATTTAACACACTGTTTAGTCATTTAATAGCCTGTAATCCATGTGACCATGTCCATTTTAGGGGTGTCTCTTGGCGTAACATGTTAGCAAACAGCCTTGCTGAAAAGACTACTGTGATTTCTCAATTTAGAAACTGTTAGTCATATGTCAGATTTAATACCCAGTGCTAAAAACAGCTGCCCACATACTGTTTTGTCTGGGGCAATATGCATAACAGCTGTTGTGCCTGCTTTCCGTATTGTTGACATAAGTTGGCAGTGGCTTGTTGGCGCAATCAACATGGGTTTTCAGGCATCGTCTGGTATTAGGTGCTACTAGGCTACGTTACTGGCTAAACCGACTTTATTGCGTGTGTGGTGTTATTTGATGACTTTTTGCTTAAGTGGCAGTTTGCTCAGACACGTCCCCCTCTCGTACATTGTGTCCTGGGATAGAATGCCCTGTCGCTGTGGTCACAACTTTCCCACAGTCACCTGTGTTATGTGGGTCAGTGTCTATACAGACAAAACAAACGAAAAAACTCCCAAAAACATTGTGAACATGCATTAGTGTCTCTACTTCCTGCAGCACTGCAATACTCAGTGGTATCAGTGTTTTTATTTATTTTTATATACAGTGCTTATTTAGAAGAATACTATATTTCAGTGAAAGTAGGATGGTGTGGCCTTGACAGACCAGAATAAAGTACATGATGCTCATTATTATGGCTCAGGAAGTGCTTTACAAGTTCACTATACACAATGCTAGTTCTTCTTTCACAAAGGTAATGTTTTTTTTAAATGTTAATAAGTGTACAATTCATGATTTCTTTTTTAGAAATAATGCATCACATACTGTACAACACAGTAAAATGTTACAATTTTACATTTTTCACTAAAAAAGGCATTCATGGAGAGAGAAATATGTCTAAGAGCACAACAGAACGTCGGCAGAGAATTTCATTTGATATCTAACAAAGAAAATCTGTACCAATATTTAAGCCTGATAAACTGTCATTGAGAATATGATATAAAATACTGCAACTTGAAGTGACAACTACAACAACAAAAAAAAGGAAGAAAAAGGTTCTTTATTGTTGTGATGTCAATACAACAAGAAAAAAAATGGTTGGTATTGACAAATTTAGACAAGAGTCTAAAACTACATGAAATTCTGAAAATGTATATATTTGATAAATTACCTTACTTAAAACCTGTAAAACCTTGTGGCCAGTGCAGAGGTTATGGCACAGTTCATATTGTGTTTTGTTTTGTTTTTTTTAACCATAAAGGATTATGAAGGAGCATCTGACCAGATCACTTTTTTCCACATCCGCGTGTCCATGATTTTTGCAATGCTGACCTCAAATGTGTATTTGTCTGTGTAATAAAGGGTTTATACAGTGCAACTCTACTGTAACATCTCTGTCTGTGTAGTGGACAGACTGTTCTTGTCTGATCTCTTGCTGACATTCTCAGTCATCTGAGGAACACTTGCTCTTCTGTTTTTCCTAACAAACATTATGCTTAGTGAATGTGCGCTTTCAACCAGAATTTCCAACCTTGTTTAACCTTGTTTTGCAGATGCCACTTAAGTCACCGTTTCTATTGAAATATTAGTCAGTTGAGCAGTCTTTGTGACTGAAGCTCCTGCCATCAGTGCCACAGTCATGAACCCTCTTACAGAGTCACTTAGTTCTTGTCATCATGCCACCTTAAGGTCTACTGGGCCTGCTTAGAAGAATACAGTTAGTAGAAGAACAGATTTGGTTCCTGACTTCTCAGTGCACTCCAGCTGTTGCATTCATTTTCTTACTGCCCAGATAAATTACTTTATATATCATTTTCTCAGGTGCCTGTGATACTGTGGAGTACTGGGGTTTAAAGTTGTCTTTGGGCTTTTATCACGGTTTAAATTGTCCTTGGTCATATTCATAAAAGTGTTAAAGAGGAAAACTGAAACAGGTTCTTATACTCAAACTGATCCCTTCATTTTACTAAAACTGTTTGTATTTTGGAAGCTGTACTTGTCATCTAGGGAGCAAAGCCTTAATTAACATGAAGGTTTGACTTTGCCAGCCATCTGTAGCTCAGATGTACACAAGTATATAAAAGGTGCTGCCACAGAGAGCCAAAGCAGTCAAACATCAAAGCATCCAAGCACACAATAATGCGGTTATGTTTATAGCATGTACCAGACGTTTGCTGTTGTTTTGACTGCATTTTTAACATCTGTAGCTTATCCAGGATAATGTTTACTCTTGTTACCAATCCAGGCTCTTCATCCCTCATTACAAAAGAGGTTCTCAAAGCAGTAACCAATGACGATAAAGGCAACGCCAACCGCACCATACGTTTTACTGTCGTAAACCCTCCAAAATTTGGAAAGCTAGTGAATGTGCAGGCAGACAAGTCCATAACAGAGATTTCATCCTTCACACAAGAAATGGTGAGTGCTGTAAAACCTCATGCTCTATTTGCTTGAAAGAGTGTGAGGCAATAAATTATGAATTAGTCTCCATTCTGTGAGCCTCTCTAGCTGAAGGGCTATGCTGTACATCCTCTGATTAGCTTGTGGGGGATGGGTGAATAATGCTTTAAGAAAATTGCTTTTAATGTCATGTTCAGTACTCCAAAGGTGGAATTCTATAATATTGGGTTAGGGCAATAGAGTAACATTATCAGTGTAATAAATATATAGAACTATTTGAGTTTATATTATATTAATTATTATATTATTTGTTTGATATTTTATAATTATGCCAATTAATTATGCTCATGGGTATTGTTTAAACTGCAATATTTGTATTGGTTCCAGCTAGATGATGGTGAAGTGGCATATGAGCAAAATGTAGACTCTGTGGGATGGGCAGCATTAGACAAGTTCACATTCACTGTGTCATCACCTCCTGCCAGCCTTGAGGCTCAAACGTTTGATATTGACATCTCTTATGAACATGCTGGACCTGAACGAAGCTCTCTCCTTAAAAACACAGGTATGTAACATTTGAGTGAGTGTCAGCTTACCTCTGAGATACAGTTAACCTACTGAAAATTCTAAATGTGAAAATTCACTCATCAAATGTTAATATATAGTACTGCAATTAAGCTCCAGATATTAAATTTTCAGGGTCAGGAAAAAAGCAGAAAACATATTTAACTGAGTATTACACAAAAGCCTATGAAACTAAACATAATCTCAAATCCATCAGTATTTAATGTGTCCACTCTGTACTGTTGTACACCCTACTGCCACCTAATAAAACCGAGTTATAACTGTGTCTTTAAACAAAAGCTGTTCCCAAAGGTGTCACTGATATTACATTATGTCGCGCATCTAAAGTGGCTAAAGGAGATAGTTCTGAGGATAACAGACAATTCACTTGCATAAGGAAGGGGAAAGTCATAGGTGAAAAATAGGTGAACAATTAGGAGGTTCCAAAACTGGGACTGAACTCTTGCTTCAAACTGGACATCTAAAATGAGTAGGGTTTTGTGGACTGATGAGTCTCAATCTGTAACTGTGATTGCTTAGACTGTGAGAAGCAAAAAATGCAGCCAACATCTAAGGCTAAACTTTAGAGGAAAAATATCTCTGCAGATTTCTTTGAAAGAACTGAAATAAAGCTGCCTGATAAGGATGAAATCTGTAATAAAGGCAAGGCCTGAACATACCACATACTGAAAAATGTGATATTTAGTTGTGGAGGCTTCTGTGTAATTTTCTGTTGAACATGTTTACTGTTTTTTCCTGACACTGAATTTTTTTTTCTGACATTTAAATGAATTACTTTTGCGCAGTACTATATTATGCAGACCTATGGTGACTACCTCAAGCTAGTTTTGTCTGATTTGAGAATTTGCATGGGTGATGTTCCAGGTGCTGTGGTAACAGAAGGAGACAAAGTTGTCATTGACAGGACGATGCTGGATGCATCAAATCTCCTTACCAAGGAGGCTGAGCCCCGTCGCAACTCTTATGATGTCTGGTACCAGGTGAAGACTTTACCACAACATGGTATCATTGTCGTGGGTGAACGGAATCTCACAAAGGAGAAGCCCTACTTCTCTCAGTTCATCCTGAACAAGTATGGAATCACCTATCAGCATGATGACTCTGAGACAACATATGACCACTTTGTATTTGATGCTTTCCTTAACCTGAAGAGCAAGCCTGCACAGCGCCCATTAGATGACAGTGAAGTCATAGAGGAGGCATTCAATATCACTGTCACTCCAGTGAATGATCAGCCACCTATCCTAAAAACTAAGGCCCCAAGCCTCAAGGTGGTCCAAGGGGAAACTATAGCTCTTGGACCCAGCAACTTGAATGTGTCAGACTTAGACAACCCTCCAGATGAAATCCTGTACTCTGTGATCAGTAGACCCACCAATGGCTACCTTGCTCTTGCAGGAAGCTTGAATACATCAGTGGATGCCTTTTCCCAAGCCCAAATCAACAATGGCGAAGTATTGTTTGTCCAGGATGGCAGCCCTGTGTCTGGGGTGTTCTACTTCAGTGTCACTGATGGCCATCACCGACCAGTTTACAAACTTTTTAACTTGGAGGTGATACAGATTTCTATTTCTCTTATCAATCATACAGAGATTGTGTTGGAACAGGGCAAAACATCAGTGGATCTCACTCCTTCACATCTGGCTGCAGTAACCAATGGAAAAAACACCACTATTCACTATAAAATAACTGTGCCTCCTAGATATGGTAAACTTCTTCTGTTGGACAATGAAGAGGTTTTTGCTTTTAATCAGGAGGATCTGCAAGCACATAGACTAAGTTATCACATGATCAATCCTGTGTCCTCTAATGATAGTTTTGAGTTCAATGTCTTCACATCAGAGACCAACCTGACTGATCAAGTAGTTAATATCACAGTCAAGCCTTTAATTCGGTATGCAAAAAGTGTAGGGATCCCAAACGGACAACGTGTTAAGCTTAAGGCAGGTTATCTAAATGCCTCTGAGCTTGCCTTGATAAGTGGTAGCGATCCAGTGTTTGAAATCTTATCCTCGCCAATGTATGGCAAGATTTTACGCATAGAGACTAACAAGGTAAAAAAAGCAGAACCTGTCAGGACATTTTCCTTTAGTGAACTGCAGCAAGGAAAATTGGCCATCGAGGTTAAGGCAAACCTTACAGGAGTTCAGGAGGTGAATGACTCCTTCAGATTTGTCATAAAAGCTGACAATCTTCAACCTGCAATAGGAGAATTCACTTTTAGCATTGTCCCGTTTGATCCTGCTCTCATGACAACAACAGGTGTCCCAGCTTTCACAACTAGTCCAGTTTCACCCAGCCAAACAACAGTAATGAATTCTGCCCTGCTTTCCACATCTCCTTTGCTTCAGTCTACGCAGCTGTTGACCAAAGCTGTGACCAAGTTCAAAGGCCGCAACCGCTGGGGTAACTCAAACCGCAGTGACTCACATGGCACTACTATCGCTAAACCAGGTCACAGACAGGAGGTCACTCCGATGAGGAACACTCCGCTGAGGGTTGAGTCAGCACCCCAAGGCAGCTCCTCCAACCCTATGCTCATCATTCTTCCGCTGCTTGCTCTAGTACTTCTCATAATTGTGGTGGTGCTAGTGCTTATCTTGAGGAGAAACCAGCAGAAGAAACAGAAACCTTTGAAAAGTGCCTCTGTTTCTTCATCTTGTCCTGACATTGGATACTATCAAGGCCGCCCAGAGCGGAGTACAACAGTTCCCTTAGTGACCGTCACCCCTCTCAGCCCAACCAACCATGGTAGTCCAGCTCAAATGAGACTTCATACAAGCAGTGGAAAATCTGCCTATGGACAGTCTATGGCTCTTTGTTCCTTCGAGGACCAGGAGCTTGAACCCTCACAGTTCTGCAGGACCACTAACCCAACCTTACAGCACAATCAGTACTGGGTGTAAAATGGCCCTGTTCCCTTTCCAAAGCCCCTTTTTCACTCCAGGGCTGAATGGTTACTATGATGATGTTTGCTGGTTCACACTTGTATGGACTTGTGTCAGCAGTTCTGGTTACTTTTTCCATCTTTTGTGCAACACTCAGGACAAGAAAAGTACCTGAGAAAAGCTACAGTGATAACAGGACATGGGGCAGTGCATCAGCAACAGCATCCCATGTATGTATGGCATGAAAGATAAAGAATTGTAGGAGCTGACAGTGTGCACTGAAAGGCAAAATAAAAGACACCAGATGGGGCATCACAAAAGTGATGTAAATAAAAACTGATCAGTGATTGCCTAAGCTATCCCACCTGAACAGTTCTACTGAACTGAGCATGGGCATGATTTGCATTCCACATCAAACCGTATCCAAGTGGAAATGCCAATAGAGTGCGAGAGAGCTCTCCGTACTCAGAACTGTTGAGCCCTACACTGGAAAAGAGGCTCAAATTATTATACTTTTATAGTAATACTCTTGTATTACTACTACTTTTATAGTAATACTCTTGTATTACTACTATTTTCAGAGCAAGACATTACACAAAGCAACATTACTTTAATGTTGTTATTGTACTTTATATGCTTGTTACTGTAGCTGTGTAAAGTTGTTCTGTTTGGGGCAGGCACTTCCCCATTTTAAGTGAAATGCTTAGTTTGGGGAACTGCTCGCTGTTCAGAATTTAAAAGTTCCCTGTTACTGCATTTTTTTGGATATGAGGTTTTTGACATTTTACTTATCAGGTGCATTCATCTTAAACGCTGACCCTATCATCAGGAGATCGCAAGTTCGATCCCCAGCGATGCCACAGCCATCCATGGCCAGAAGTTCAGGAGAGCATAATTGACCTCCCTCTCCCCCAACACTTAGCATGATGCTAGCCAATGCAAGCATCTTTAATCTGACATAACAGAATTGGCAGTCAGCACTCTCCTCCAAGCTTGATCGTGCAACTTCAGTTATTTGAGGTCGGAAAAAAAACGAAGGCCTGTTTGGCTACTGTATGCCTATAAAAACTCTTAAAAGCAATTACATTTGAATTAAATGTATATTTCATTACTGCCGGCAGTTCAACATTAACATAGTGCCAAAATGTTACTTCTTGTTTTATATCCACTTCTGTATTGAAATCACAGATCAGCGACTCTCTGGCCTCTGACTTTCCAAGTGGGAGTTACGAGTTCAGTCGACATTCAAATGGATTTCTCCTACTTGGAAGTCAGAAACTTCCCAGTTCATATTGGTCATGAACGCAGCATAAATTTGGTAGAAATTGGGGCTTATTTATTCTTGCTAACAGTTTCTTTGTACTTTGAAAGACATATCAGAGTCATTATTTGGCTGATAACAGTATTGCTGTAGATACCTACAAAAATATGTACAACAAGATGTAAGTAGCTGCTGTGACAATTGCTTTAGACAGAAGTTTGGTATTTCCTAGGGCTCTTTTCGTAGGCAAACCACAGGAACCTCTGAACTTCACTGTGATTAAGGTCTAAGATGTGGTATAGCATCGAACCTTCCTGGTACCTTAAGTGTCCGGTACACTTAAAGCAGTGTGGCTTTAGTTTAGTTATGACATTACTCTGATGAGGGTTTCTATGAATGCCCTTAATTAAAATGGATGTCCCCACCACCCAGAGCTGGGTGTACTTGTACCCTCCAATAGCTTCTTCCCTGGTTGTGTCCACCTCATGTTTTCCCCTAGTTCCCATGAGTGTGATTAGTAATGCAAATAACCTGGATGCTTCTTAATTATACCTTGGTACGCTGAAATTATGGATCTTATTAAGGTACTCTTTGCTTTTATGCTGATATTTAACAACCTCAAGATATTTATTTATGGATTTATACATCTAAAATGTATTACTGTTACTTTCTTATTACACATAATAGTGTACCTATGTTATTGGTGATTAATTTTGTGTCATTGTATTTACTCAGACATATTTTTGTAATATCAGTAATCTAGAGGTTACACACTGAAACAACATTTTTTTTTTTCTATGTTTTAGCATTGCATCATATAACTATGTTGTTGGCACTGATTTTGGCAAAAACAGAAGATATTACTTGAACTGTACATGATTTTAGCTGCTGAAGGTATCCTCTGTGCATGACTTTTTCACTGTATTACGTTGTGTTCTTTTAGTTCTTTTGCAGTTTCTCTGGAATCACGGGTATGCCTATTTATAAAAGGGCATGTGGAATCACTGAAATTTAGCACTGTATGCTTCGACGTCCATCACGAGTATATTTAAAAAATATACATTGTTTAACAAATTACGAAAAGGTTATGTGGTCACAGGATGGTTTTCCGCATGTAATCCTATGTTCACTATATGATGTTGTATTTGTCAATAAATAGTGAGTGTCCTGCACTAAATCAAATCATCAGTCATTGTGCTGAAATCTTCTTGCCAATAGTTACATCATTAAGCTATTTAATCCCAGTCTTTTCCCAACTATGGGAGTACATGAATTTTCTTCTTGGACAACCCCATGACACCATGTCAGAAACAGCCTGCATACTGATATGATGGAAATGGTGAATGTTGGGTTATCAGATTCAAAACTTCAGACAAAGTTAAGCTATATGAAAGTAAACAACTGATAGTTTGGATTACCAACAGCAAATGTGTTCTCTCACCACTCACCAGCATGCTAGAAGTTAAAAGCTCAGGTCACGTGACCAATTATTACTTTCACCAACATAAAAAAATGTTCATATGAAATCAAGACAAATTGTAATTTCATTTATAGTTTAGCATTCAGTACATAACACATTAACAACTCTTTTAGGGCTTTGCAAAGTCAAAACAAAAATTTGGTCACAGTTGTGATGGGTCAGTAATTTTTGATTTTCATGGAACAATATAGGCCATATTGGGATTAAAACCTTTATGGAGCCTATAAGTAATTGGACAATGACACATTATTTGTTGCTAATAACTACAAATGTGAGTAATAATTGCAGTCTCTATTAGGTAAACTACTGTTTAAAGGTATCACGCATCCCCCAGTACTAAATCACCAAATGAACTACAATATACTTAGGTGTAAATCTGACTGAAATCTGCAACCTATACAACCCCAGATGTTTGATATCTTCCGTGATGATGCTCTGTCTGGCCTGTAATGCAGCCTTTTTGCCTTCAGTAATTTAAATGCCCTCATTTTTTCTTTAAAAATCACTAAGCTTTAAAATGAGCTATTTTTAATTGAAGCACTTCACTTAAGATTTAAAAAGTAGGCCTCTTAAAGTGGGCTATCATGCTTAAATTACTCAAACACTCCACAACCCCACAGGAACAAATACACAGCTAATAACATCACACAATGTTTGGGGTATTTCAGGATAGATTTGTTACAGATTGGATTGGATTCATTTTTTTTCCCCTCAGATGTCCTGTCTGGCATTTTCTGCTGATATTGCCCCGAAACCAGTACCCAGTAATGGAAGGTAAATCTCCAGTTTTGAGGCATGAATTTGAACAATTAAGACAGCAGTTCTCAAACCTTTTTAGTCTAAGGCCCCCTTTGTGGATAGTTAATGCCACTGGGTGACTCCCTGCTCGCTCCCCTCCCCACTCGCCATTACTTTCATTTAACAAACAAGAACCTTGTCTCACCATAAACCTGCCCATTTTGCTGCCTTTCTCCGCAGCTTTTGCTGCACATACAGGAGCCATTATGCTGTTCTATCATATTAGAGGTGACTTGTTGAGTTGGCACAGTATGGTCATGAATATTGATCGGTTGGAATGAATTTTATTTTGATAATGTTTAATAACGTCTGCAATTTCTTAACAAGTACGAAGTTTTCAGACGTGGCAAAGGCAGAGAATAAATAAATGGAAATAATGCAGGTCCCATTTTGCGAATCACTAAGTTAAGATGTTTCTGTACACTTGACGTATTCTTCAGTCATTCTGTAATGTAATCTTTTGTGGTCTAGCAAATCATTTCCTATTGCTACATTTATCAATGTGTTTTGTGTTCTTGCTTATTAACAATATCCATATATGCATAAAGTTTTCTTCATATCTTTGGTTAGTTTACTCTGATTTTTCAGCCTCTTCACATCAAATTCAACATGTACAATCAAGGCTAAACCTTTAATTATCTCTCTTATTCACAAACGTATTGTCCAACAACACATAACTGGCCAAGAAACAACTGGGCAGCAAAATGTCTGATTACTTTTGGTTCCCTAAAAGGAGAGAATGAAGTATGACAAAGTCTTTTTTTATTTCAAATACAATGTGTTGAAGTGCGAGCAAAATAATGAAAGTTTGTCAAATGTTCAAAGGATTGAATTCAATGTGAATCAGAAATCATAATACATTTTAATTGCTGTATTGCAATATTGTGATGTATTGCCGAATGAAGCACCAGGAGCGTCTCTTGGCTAGCTGAGCAGTTTTGTGCAGTCATAAGTTGGGGGAGATGAAAAATTATGTTATTGATCAATATTATTTTCCCTGCCTGTTGATTCCTGGTGATATAATTAAAAATCAGAAGACATTTTAGAGTAAAAGTCATTGCATTTTGATCAACAAGAAACAAGACTTTTGTCTTCTACATGGTATGATATGATGAATTGCACTTAATATGCGCTTAATTGACTGGGCAGTTTACCCCTGAAATCTCTATTGTTTTACCATCTGGATTTCCTCTCTTCATTTGGCTGAACTGATACTGGGAACATAGAGACTAAAGGAAATGAATATCCTTTCACATTGTAATTGCTGTGATACATCTCTTCCTGTGCTTAATTACAGTGATTTTAGAAGCTACAATGTTCGAGCAGTGCTATTTAAATACTTCTCAATTGAATCTGCTGAATTAAAGAGACACTGAATGTGAGTCAATGAGACAATGTTGGCACTGTTTTGTAGAGAGAAGGAAGCTGTGTTGCGATGAGGATGTGATTGCAAATAGAACTTACAACATGTTACTTAACATCTCGCATTTACTATGCCCGGTTTGAGAGTGTTTTAGACTTACAACTAATTGCAACAACATCAGTAGGCAAGCCTGTTCTTCAGCGAATGAAGAAGCTATAGTTTAAAGTCATTATGAGTCTTGTTCTAGGAATATTATGTGGGCCATTATCTTTTATGAATTGTTAATGATCTTTCCGCTTTATGAAAAGGCACTTGTACTAAATATAGCACACTGTAGTTAAGATCTTGTATGTTCTTGTAATGTTCCAACATCTCACTTAGTGACTGGAAACATCAGCTCACTTTCTAGGGAAGTAAGAAACTGTTAAAAAAAACCTGTTATTTTTAAAAAACAATCTGATGATACCCACTCGCTTCTTTATTTCTCTCTACATAACTGCTAAAATCATACATGCTTACTGACAGAAATGCTGCTTAAGAAAAGGAAACAGTTGGTAGTCGGGCTACCAACTGTTTCTGTAAATCATTCCTTAATCATTATTGCAGCACTGACCTTCGCAATCCTGAAGCCCTGTCTAATTTTGCGCACTTTGCAGTCCTACAGTCCTCATTCACATTTGCCCGTGAGGACTACATGGCCAGAGGGCGCCCTGTTTCTCATTCTGGTATAGTTTGTGGTTGGTAATACCACTCCCCTTCACACAGTAGACTCCTTACTTGGGTAAGCATACCATGTTACACCATTAAGAGTCCTTGGGCAAGAGCTGCTCTAGGCTTGTAACCTAAATACAGCCTCCTAAAACTAAGCAA